TTCACATATGTACACCTTAAGAGATATCAAGTAGGCGTAACATGTTCTCAAAAAATTAGGGTTGGCACGCAGAAGAATTTTGAGTCAGAGATTTTGCTGGTTTTGGCACGCACTCACAAAAAGGTTGCCCACCCCTGGCCTAGAGAATTCAGCAACATCTATTGGCAAAGCCCCAAAGGCAAAGCCTCATTCCAACCACCTCCGTGTACACCCTCAGTGTGCAAGAATATTCCCCCTTCAATGTGCAGAAGTGGATAAGCGTATCAAAAACTAAAGAAGCTGTCAACTTGCTCCAATCCTATCCAACAGTGATAAGGAGATCCGAACATTCTTGAATAATACAAACAGCTGATATCTACATTTAAAGCAACTTTCCCAACCTTGCCAAAACACAAGCCCCAAACAAGCAAACAAAGCATTTCTTAAACAGACCGGTTTGTCTCTAAAATACCGGGATAGAACCTCAACCATCCATTCTTCAGTTCTTTTCAATCTTGAACATGGAGATACCACTCTCTTCTGGACAAGAAAACTCGGATATGTAAAGAATATTTCAAAACTCATAATACTCTATTAAACGGTTTTCCAAAGATGCCACTACTGAAATTGAGGTTATTTGAGTAATAAACCACCAAATAATTGTAATGCATGGCCTAGAAAGAGCCAGGCCAGAAACCTGCGGAGAAACAGATCTGAAATTATTCTGGCATCACCTGAGGTCAAGCGAAAGGTGGGGGAAGCTTTCAGAGAAATGAATGCAGGAGACACAGGGCCGTGCAGAGGTGAGAGAAAAATCTTAGAAGGTTCAAACAAATATGCTTGCAGTTCACGAAACAGCAGCAACAAGGATTTTCTCCCACAAATATTCATTTTCCCCCCTGCTGGGCTGCGCTCTGTTTTCACGTTCAGTTCCATCATGCAGGCAGAAGTCTGCATTGGTCCAGTTGCGGGGAGCTCCCCTACAGCAGGGTCTGCAGGGCCCTCCAGCACCTTGGACAATACATCAAGAGAAAAGGTTCTGTCCGCTGGGAGCTCAAAACAAAGCATTCCTGCAATCTAGGAGGTTAATTTGTTGGCCACCACAAACTTTAGAATAAGCCAGGCTTGACTTGAGTTTCCTTCACAATCTGAGAAGCCCCTGGGCAGCACACAGCTCCCTCTCCTGTCACCAGCAAGGCCTGGGGGCACGCAATCACAGAGCGCTGGGAATGCTCCCTGCGCACATCCACCCACCGTGGATCTCATAGCTCTCCCAACCGAGGCTCCCAGGGAACCCTCTCAACAGCCAATGTAAATAACTTCCTTCTAAATACA